CGATGCTCTCAGCTTAATTGCTGCCTTCGGCTGTCTTTAGCCGAGGGGCACATTGGTTTTATATAATAGCTATATTTTCAATTATAGTATATCAATTCTATCTTCTTGTAATATGATGTATATGTACATGTAACTGTTCTGTTTCAGTGTGTCTTGAAAAAGGAGCGGATCGCTCCGAAAATTTGACAACCTAAACTTGTCTACACTGTTGGAATTACTTCTTTGCCCCATATAATATTTTAAGTAATTCGTATCCTACGGAAATACCTCCATTAGGATCCTGTGTTACATGGGATTTTACCGTCTATATTACTTCTTTGACCCATATATATATATATATATATATATATAAATATATACACAATTATTGACCCGATCCTTAATTTTTTTGTTCATGTGAGGCTAGTGAATAAAGTGCGGCTTTGATCCATAATGGACGTGTCAAAGTTATGTGTCGTAAAGAGAACATCACCACAGTCAACGTGTCAAAGTTATGGGTCGTAGAGAGAACATCACCACAGTCAACGTGTCAAACTTATGTATCGTAGAGAGAACATCATCACCGTCAACGTGTCAAAGTTATGTGTCGTAGAGAGAACATTACCACCGTCAACGTGTCAAAGTTATGTATCGTAGAGAGAACATCACCACCGTCAACGTGTCAAAGTTATGTGTCGTAGAGAGAACATCACCACCGTCAACGTGTCAAAGTTATGTATCGTAGAGAGAACATCATCACCGTCAACGTGTCAAACTTATGTGTCTAGAGAGAACATCACCACCGTCAACGTGTCAAAGTTATGTGTCGTAGAGAGAACATCACCACCGTCAACGTGTCAAACTTATGTATCTTAGATAGAACATCACCACAATCAACGTGTCAAACTTATGTGTCTAGAGAGAACATCACCACCGTCAACGTGTCAAACTTATGTGTCGTAGAGAGAATATCACCACCGTCAACGTGTCAAACTTATGTGTCGTAGAGAGAACATCACCACCGTCAACGTGTCAAAGTTATGTGTCGTAGAGAGAACATCATCACCGTCAACGTGTCAAAGTCATGTGTCTAGAGAGAACATCACCACCGTCAACGTGTCAAAGTTATGTGTCGTAAAGAGAACATCATCACCGTCAACGTTTCAAAGTTATGTGTTGTAAAGAGAACATCATCACCGTTAACGTGTCAAATTTATGTGTCGTGATGAGAACATCACCACCTCCAACGTGTCAAATTTATGTGTCGTAGAGAGAACATCACCAACGTCAACATGTCAAAGTTATGTGTCGTAGAGAGAACATCACCACCGTCAACGTGTCAAATTTATGTGTCGTAGAGAGAACATCACCACCGTCAACATGTCAAAGTTATGTGTCGTAGAGAGAACATCACCACCGTCAACGTGTCAAAGTTATGTGTCGTAGAGAGAACATCACCACCGTCAGTCAACGTGTCAAAATTATGTCACAGCTAGCGAAACCACCTGAACATGTAAACAGCCTTCTCTCTGTTGTCACATCTCATCAGCTGTTTTATAAACAAAAATAACAACGCCGCAATGCGGAAACAAGGTAAAAAAAATTGAGGGAAATGAATAAAGAGCTACGTTAGGTCTGTTTGATAACTTATTTAGAATGGGAATGAAGTGATATCAACAAACCTGAGTCAACATAAAAATCCACAACTATGACGGTCATGTTCATACTTAAACCCTCATCGTTCATCCGCGTTTAACTTCTGACGAGTTCTGATTGCAATATTGTTTAGGGATATTAACAGCCGCTACGATCTTTATTTCGCAATATAGGAAAGTAAAACAAACATAGTTGGTTAATATGTATAGTTTTTTTTCTAACACGCCAACAAGTCCAGTCATGATAATAGAAACAAGTACTAATTGTAATGGAGGACCATTGCAGATGTCCCCCAAACTGCCCCCATAGTCGCAAAAATGCATCAGAAAAGGATCGCATTGCCATATTACACCACCAATGTACATCCTTTTGAGTGAAATTGAGCAATTTCTAAATTGCGACCAACCAGAAGCCTCTATGGGGTTGCTATGGCAACGAAACGTATGTGATTGAATTTGCAGTCCCCTAATACCCCTATATACCAATTTTCATCGAAATCGAACAATATCTCAATTTCGAACAATTATAATCATCCGTGTGGTTGCTATGGTAACTAAACGTATGCGGTTTTATTCGCAGTCACCTAATACCCCTATATATACCAATTTTCATCAAAATCGAAAAATATCTAAATTTCGACCAATCAGAGGCCGCCGTCCAGCTGACCATTCGGATGACCGATCGAAAAACGAAAATGATTTTGCGCATAGCCTGTCATACACGAACACTCATATACAGTTTCGTTAAACTCCGCGAAGAAATAAGATAAATAATTATAATACTAATAAGAAACGGAGCCAAAAAAATATGTCCCCAAACTTTGTTTGGGGGACTTTGTTTGGGGGACATAATTATCAACAACATCCACATTATCATGAGCATCGTCTGTCACATGTTTATACGGGAAAGTTCCCAAGAGACGTGTAAACCTTGAAGTTAAAGAGAGTGATGTGCAAGGGACATAACCAGACTATAAACATACCGACTAACGTGTAGATAACGAGCAATCCTTTGAAAAAGAATGGAATCGTCCGTGTTAACATTAATTTCATTGTGTTTTTACCTTTTTTGACGGGTCGAGGAAAATACGGTATACGAATATGAAGTTATGTTTAATGTTTATCGTGTTATTGCCAAAACATAGCTTCTATAATAATGGAATATACAGTTATCAAATGAAATGATCTACAAATGGGTTTATTTTACATAATACATTTGTAAATATGCAATATAGAATTCCGAACCAACATAAATGCCAACTGAAAACGAGTCTGTTTCCATCGCTGACCTTTGCCCTTTATTTCCCCCGACGCCACCTACCGGATCATCCAGGTTGCCTGTGAAGTACCGCCGGATTTGCCGCGCTGCCACCACCTGTGCCGGAGTTATATGAGGCAATCGCTCCCATGGCAATCCAGCTGTCAAAATCAACGAATATTTCAAAATACACGAAACCTCTCATTTGATCTGTAGACAGCAAGTATAGCCGATTCTGTAATTGGAATTCTACACCTTCGATCGACTGAAACTGTTGGCACAAAATGAGGCTTGCCTTCTAATATCATTGTCTCTTATGAGAACGAAATTTTATATTGCAAAAGTGGACCCAGTTGTCTTCTCCATTTCGACCCTCATTTATTATTGAGGTCCACTTGTTTTCTCTATCGTTATTGATATGGGGTTTGTGCTGTGACAGCATCCATAAAAATATATAACGACCATTGTGTGTGATGACGTCATGTAACATTGTCAAGTGGTCTTACTACGCAGTCTACAATGGGAAGGCAACAGAGGCCAGCACATGGTTGCAGTACACGTGGGAGATATTAGTTTCAAATGACGAAGTTATACAATTCGTCGAGCCATTTCCGGTTCATCCCCACTATGTAACACGGATATAAACCGTAATAATACAGTGTGGCATCAAAACAGTGATACGACTTGTAGAATACAACAAAAACCAAGTTATCTTTGATATAATTTGACCCCGGGTCTGTTTTACTTGTGGAAGTTTGTCCACTTGTCTGGTCTATTTTTTATGTTTTAATTTGACCTTCAACTTATTTTCCACACGATACAAATAGTACTGAAGTATCTTAGAGCATTGACACGTTCACGTACACATTATTGTAAAAAGGGACAAGTTAAGAAGAAATAATGATAATAATTCTAAGAAGTGTAGATTGAGTAGACAAAATGTGTCTGAAACTTTGGGAGACATTCATAATGAATATTTAAGGAAAATCGATGTAAATATCAAAGGAGCTGAAATTTGACCCCTTGTAAGACTCATTTCCATGGCAATGGACACGTTTTCCAAGTAGTCGGTGGGTTCTAAATTTGACTCCGAGTTCCAGTTCCTCATGGGTCACATTTTCACGTTAACAATGAACACTTTTGTGTATTCTTAGTTGGCGTACATATTTAATCCCAGGACTTTGTATATCGCGCTATCATAAGTACTTACTGACCACTTCACTGACCGGTGTTGTAAGCACTGATGTTGTTTTATCACAAGAGAGCTTGGTATAGACCAGCACATGTGTATATGTCTAGTAGATCCTCTGGTATAATTAGTATGGTCAGTCCATGATTGCAATACCGTCTGTCATACAAAATCAAATTGCCATTATCTTTTGTAACCAAGTGCGTTTTGGTTCTGTAGCCAACTGTAGTTCAGATCCTCGATCATCATCCTCTCCACTTATATCAATAAGACCGGTCACTATTGTATTTGTTCTCAGTGAGTGTCGCCACTAATTAAGGGTATCTGTACATCCTGTTTCACTCTCTCACCCACTAAGTAGATAAGTAGTACATTTTACTCATTTGTATGGTGTTCTGTTGTAGCCAAATAACAATTAACATTTGTTCCTTAGTCCCTCAACCCATCCACGTGAGATCGAGACCACAACAGTCGGGCAATCGCAACATCTCGGTTCAAGGATCGGAACTTGATTATAAGCCTTTACGAAATTTACCAAGATGTTGTGATTGGCCGTCGAGAGGGTGATAATCTCTCTCTTTCGCTGTCGTGTTCTCTAACCTTTTTCGAAATGGTGTATCTAGCGTTACATTGTATATTCTTCAAACAGGGCACCATCATTTGCACGAAGAGCGAATGGTTTATCATTATTATTATGTATAAGAAGAAAATTGGGTAACAATCTTACGTTCGGAACACACAAAGTAGACCTTCTTGTTGAGACCGGTCCCTAAGGGTTCACACGGAATCTTTGGTTTGGGTTTATACGTTGGTTTGATGTCATCGGACGTGGATAGATCTGAAATCAACATAGATTTATATAATTGTCAGTTATATTGACGTCATTATCTGATAAACTTCTCAGACCTATAATTGCAAGTTATACTGCAGGCATCGATAGATGAACAACACATACCTATAATTACAAGTTAACACATCTACGTCATCACAGACCTTTACTTCTAACGTCATCAGCTGATAAACTTCTCAGACCTATAATTGCAAGTTATACTAATGTCATAAACTTTAACTGACGTCATCAACACATATACGTGATCACAGATCTATAATAACAACACATATACGTGATCACAGATCTATAATAACAACACATATACGTGATCACAGATCTATAATAACAACACATATACGTGATCACAGATCTATAATAACAACACATATACGTGATCACAGATCTATAATAACAACACATATACGTGATCACAGATCTATAAGTACAACACATATACGTGATCACAGATCTATAATAACAACACATATACGTGATCACAGATCTATAATAACAACACATATACGTGATCACAGATCTATAATAACAACACATATACGTGATCACAGATCTATAATTACAACACATACACGTGAGCACAGATATATAATTACAACACATATACGTGATCACAGATCTATAATTACAACACATAGACGTGATCACAGATCTATAATTACAACACATACACGTGATCACAGATATATAATTACAACACATATACGTGATCACAGATCTATAATTACAACACATATACGTGATCACAGATCTATAATTACAAGCTATACTGACGTCATTAGCACATAAACGTCGTCGAAGACCTATGCTTTTAACACCAATGTCAAAACTACCATCTGAACAATGAAGAGACGGGTCGATCCGGGACGCTCGTAAATATTCATTTTAAAGTATAGTTATTGAAGAAGTAATAAACATCACCAATAGAAAACTGTTCCGACAATTTCTACAATATACACTTCAAACGTCTTATCCCTTGGTGTTGGTAATATAAAATTGTGGTATGATCACGGCCTATACCAGTTAAAGTTTTAAGGAGAACAGCAGTTGCACATTCGGTTAACAGTCGACGCCCTTATAGTGTGAAACGCATAAATCAATAGCAATAAACGATAAATTCAATTGATCTTTAGCCAACTCCATATCAGCACTTGAACAGATCATCGATTGAGTTAAAAAAAAATTGTGTCTGTTTGCAGTGCGTATTCCTACACCATCCGTTGACAATCAAACAGGTTGTCGTCAACTCACAATCAAACAGGCTGCCTATCGTCATCTTACCGTCAAACAGGTTGTCGTCAACACCATCAAACAGGCTGTCTATCGTCATCTTACCGTCAAACAGGTTGTCGTCAACACCATCAAACAGGCTGCCTATCGTCATCTTACCGTCAAACAGGATGTCGTCAACTCACCATCAAACAGGCTGTCTATCGTCATCTTACCGTTAAACAGGTTGTCGTCAACACCATCAAACAGGCTGTCTATCGTCATCTTACCGTCAAACAGGATGTCGTCAACTCACCATCAAACAGGCTGTCTATCGTCATCTCACCGTCAAACAGTCTGTCTATCGTCATCTTACCGCCAAACAGGTTGTCGTCAACTCACCATCCAACAGGCTGTCTATCGTCATCTTACAGTTAAACAGGTTGTCGTCAACACCCTCAAACAGGCTGTCTATCGTCATCTTACCGTCAACCAGGCTGCCTATCGTCATCTTACCGTCAAACAGTCTGTCTATCGTCATCTTACCGTCAAACAGGCTGCCTATCGTCATCTTACTGTCAAACAGTCTGTCTATCGTCATCTTACCGTCAAACAGGTTGTCGTCAACTCACAATCACACAGACTGCCTATCGCCATCTTACCGTCAAACAGGTTTTCGTCAACTCCCCATCAAACAGACTGCCTATCGTCAGCTTACCGTCAAACAGGCTGTCGTCAACTCACAATCACACAGACTGCCTATCGCCATCTTACCGTCAAACAGGATGCCTATCGTCATCTTACTGTCAAACAGTCTGTCTATCGTCATCTCACCGTCAAACAGTCTGTCTATCGTCATCTGACCGTCAAACAGGCTGTCTGCCGTCATCGTACCGGCAAACAGACTGTCTGCCGTCATCTTACCGTCAAACAGGTTGTCGGCAACTCACAATCAAACAGGCTGCCTATCGTCATCTTACCGTCAAACAGGTTTTCGTCAACTCACCATCAAACAGGCTGTCTATCGTCATCTTACCGTCAAACAGGTTGTCGTCAACTCACAATCAAACAGACTGTTTGCCGTCATCTAGCCGTCAAACAGGTTGTCGTCAACTTATAACAACCAAACAGTCTGTATGCCGTCATCTTACCGTCGAAGAGGCTGTTTGTCGTCAACTCGCCCTCAAACAGGCTGTTTGACGTCATTGTACCATCAAACAGTCTGTCTGCCGTCATCTTACCGTCAAACAGTCAGACACCCGTCATTGTACCAACAAACAGGCAGAAAATCGTCACCTTACGACAAAACAGGCTGTCTGCCGTCATCTTACCGTCAAACAGGCTGTCTGCCATCAATTAACCTTAAAACAGGCTGTGCGCCATCAACTTATCTTAAAACAGACTGGCTGCCATCAAGTTAACTTAAAACAGGATGTCTGCCATCAACTTATGCCATCAACTTATCTTAAAACAGACTATCTGCTATCAACTTCCAATAAAACAGACTATGTACCATCAACTTACCTTAAAATAGACTGTCTGCCATCAATTAACCTTAAACCAGGCTGTCTGCCATCAAGTTAATTTAAAACAGGCTGTCTGCCATCAAGTTACCATAAAACAGGCTGTCTGCAATCAACTTACCTTAAAATAGACTGTCTGCCATCAAGTTACCTTAAAACAGGCTGTGCGCCATCAACTTATCTTAAAACAGACTATCTGATATCAACTTCCAATAAAACAGACTATGGACAATCAACTTACCTTATAAAAGGCTGTCTGCCATCAAGTTACCTTAAAACAGGCTGTGTGCCATCAACTTATCTTATAACAGACTATTTGCCACCAACTTACCTTAAAACAGACTGTTTGCCATCAACTTCCAATACAACAGACTGTCTGCCATCATTTTACCTTAAAACAGGCTGTGCGCCATCAACTTATCTTATGACAGACTGTCTGCCATCAAGTTACCATAAAACAGGCTGTCTGCAATCAACTTACCTTAAAATAGACTGTCTGCCATCAAGTTACCATAAAACAGGCTGTCTGCAATCAACTTACCTTAAAACAGGCTGTGCGCCATCAACTTATCTTAAAACAGATTATCTGCTATCAACTTCCAATAAAACAGACTATGGACAATCAACTTACCTTATAACAGGCTGTCTGCCATGAACTTACCTTAAAACAGGCTGTCTGCCATGAACTTACCTTAAAACAGGCTGTGCGCCATCAACTTATCTTAAAACAGACTATCTGATATCAACTTCCAATAAAACAGACTATGGACAATCAACTTACCTTATAAAAGGCTGTCTGCCATCAAGTTACCTTAAAACAGGCTGTGCGCCATCAACTTATCTTAAAACAGACTATCTGATATCAACTTCCAATAAAACAGACTATGTACCATCAACTTACCTTAAAATAGACTGTCTGCCATCAACTTACCTAATAACAGGCTGTGTGCCATTAACTTATATTATAACAGGCTGTCTGCCATGAACTTACCTTAAAACAGGCTGTGCGCCATCAACTTATCTTAAAACAGACTATCTGATATCAACTTCCAATAAAACAGACTATGTACCATCAACTTCTTACCGTCAAACAGGTTTTCGTCAACTCACCATCAAACGGGCTGTCTATCGTCATCTTACCGTTAAACAGTCTGTCTATCGTGATCTTACCGTCAAACAGACTGTCTGCCATCAATTAACCTTAAACCAGGCTGTCTGCCATCAATTTACTTTAAAACATGCTGTCTGCCATCAACTTACCTTAAAATAGACTGTCTGCCATCAAGTTACCATAAAACAGGCTGTCTGCAATCAACTTACCTTAAAATAGACTGTCTGCCATCAAGATAACTTAAAACAGTCTGTCTGCCATCAACTTCCCATAAAACAGACTGTCTGCCATCAACTTATCTTAAAACAGACTGTCTGCCATCAAGTTAACTTAAAACAGGCTGTCTGCCATCAACTTACCTTATAACAGACTGTCTGCCATCATTTTACCTTAAAACAGGCTGTGTGCCATCAATTTACTTTAAAACAGGCTGTCTGCCATCAACTTACCTTATAACAGACTATTTGCCACCAACTTACCTTAAAACAGACTGTCTGCCATAAATTTACCTTAAAACAGGCTGTCTGCCATCAAGTTAACTTAAAACAGGCTGCCTGACATCAACTTCCAATACAACATGCTATTTGCCATCAACTTATCCTAAAACAGACTGTCTGCCATCAACTTCCCATAAAAAAGACTGCCTTACCACCAACTTACCGTCAAACAGGCTGTCTGTTGTCTGTAAGAAATAAATAAAATCAATGTACCAATATAGCAGGCGTCCGTGACACACTTACATTCAGGCAGATTATAACGTATGAATATGTCAGTTCAGACTTATAACTTCATTTCGATTTCATATCACAATTACGGAGTTTGAGCATATCAAAACTTCAAAGTAACAACCAGGTGAGAATTTATTTTAGTCTGGAAATCGACAGGTGTTATAATATATGTATTTCTAATTCGTAAGTTTTGTCATCTTTTCATTGAACGAAATAGTCAGACATACTCCCTCGTCCGGTATTTCGCTGTCCTCCTCCAATCCCAGGTCGCTAGTGTCACTCTCGTAGTCCCCTTCCTGGAACTCAGTCTCCACCACATAGTAATTCTGATGTATCCCAAAGATCTTTCCCCAGAACCGGATGCTCTCGATCTGCCATTGCTCTATGATATCGCGCATGGCAATGGACACTCTGACAATTTCCTCTCTGGGAAGCCCGAATCCGGATTGTTCGAAGAAATATGCTTGCCGTAGAAGATTTGGTAGAATTATGAATTTGTCATTTTCAGATGGGTCAGCTACAAGAAGAAATATTGAAAATTAAAGCTCCTAATGAAGGGATTTGTTAAGACATATATAGATATGTGTGTGTTGTTTGATAAGGTAGATGGGGAGAGATCTAATTGCAATGTCTGATCTGTGGTTGTAGGTGTTAATGTGGGGATAGTGTGGAAATATGTGATGTCGGGAGAGATGAATTAAGAATTGGGACACCACACAATAACTTCCTTCCAGCCCCCAGCCTACCAACCTTCCCAGGACTGAAGTACCGTGATATGTTCTATACAGTAAAACACTAAAGGTGATAATAAGACAGACACTCTTCCCTTTACAAAGATTAAGTAGTTGTCTTGTTCAGTTAATTTTCTCTAATACTGAACTACGTAAACCATGCTCTGACGATCTATAAATTAAACAAAGAGTTATGGACCTGGTGAGAATTTCAATAAGGGGAATTCAGCTCAAATGGAAACTAATGAAACAGGATTGATTTTTAGGTTCTCAATTAAGTAGAATAAAATGTAATTACGTTGAGAAAGAGCGGAACAGATTTTAAAGATATATACGTACTTTTAACATCGATACTCACGAGGCGTTGTCTTTTCAATACAGGGACCAGTACGTGTGTAGATATTTTATACCAAATAAAAACCTCGAGCTGTACAGAGAGACGTGAACAAAGGTTCATTGTGTCGCTGTTAGTTAGGCCGTGTAATTTGTCTCCCTGTGAACGACGTTTGCTAGCATCGTTGTAGTTTGTATGTTCTTCGTTTGCCTCTCTCGTTATAAATCTTGTTAGTATAAACACCCGGAAATGTTCATAACAACGACAGCATAATTACATAGATCTACAAGATTGATAGAATCTATCACTTCTGTGTGATGTAGCCAAGGAAATCTCAACTCAAGGGGAATAGTTTTTAAGTTTAGCACGATGATTTGCGGGATGCGGGATGCCGGATGCTAAACTTCAAAAAAGCTTATACTCCGAGGGTTAAGATTTACTTGTTTCACACAGAAGTGATTGATTATGTTCTTCCACAATCCAAAAAAGTACAATACTGAGAAAAATAGCTGTAATGGTGAGCCTTATGCACCGCGCTGGGGTGTAAAATGTATGCCAAAACTGATGACGCTAGCCAAATTACACTGCTTACAGTGATGGTGCGATGGTGACGTTTCAGATAATAGGTAAGTAATGACATGTTCTATAATTTCCCTAGCAATTATTGCATCTGTGGAGCTTGGGAGAAAATAATAACCTTCTTTTAATCAATCTATTTACGTCTTACCTTAAGCCACACTGACACAACTCTCTTCACATTTCTCCCTTTGATGCTTGATACATGTAGATCGATCGGGCTTTACGTCATTGTTCCGTTTTTTACCGAGCCTATGACAATTCCTCCCCGTTACACCACTTCCGTTACATCTTTCCTTGATAGAAATCCCCAATCCCCTTTAGACCCTCCCTTTACATATCCCCTTTACACCACTCCCTACGTTCCTCCCCTTACTCCCTTCCCTTTACTATCTCCCCGTTAACCTCTGGTGTTAAATCCCCCCCATTTCTTTACTTCTCTTCGGAACCCTTTCGGTACGAATTTCTACACACCGGTATCGTATATGTACGGAGATATGCTCTGATGGTGTTACTGATAGGAAAGAAAGGGAAGAAGAGGATTTTAAAGTTTATTAACACTATTTCGTCCCCATATTCAATTTATTTAGATATCTTTTCAAATCTGTCAATGAACTTTGACATGAGCTTTTATGAGTGATGATGCTATTCTTACCGGCAGTGTCAACAGGAGTTTATATAACATCATAAATACCGTTTATACCGACTACTACCAGACAGGGTTATTGTCTCTGGTGTCTCTTTAAACAATTAACGGTAAGACAGAACGACACGACTGCCTCCATGGGAGCTTAGCTTGTGTTTATCACAGACCTGACACTTCCTTGTATCAGAACCGCAAGTGCTGACTTTCTGTGGTTTGTCCTGTTGTTTCAGTGTTTCAGGAACATGGAGCTATCGCTTCGATAATTTAGAAAATTTGTGAAATATCAACTTAAGTAAGGTTTATATAATTTAGATTTACTCATTATATGAATACACTGTTTGACGGTAGTTGTAAAAATGTAGCTGAGCAGTATAAGTACAAATTTACCTTCGTATGGCATTGTATATATCGTATATAACCCAACCATATCTAAATATTTACATTCTGTATGCTTAGACCCATTGACAAAAATTACATTCATAAATGCATAACACAGGTGTTCATAGAATCTCAGCACGTGGGAACTGATAGTAACCTGATCACACTGCGTAGTAATACACTACAAAAACTACTCACTCGGAACGACCGACCTAGATGCTTAATTCTTACATCTTAAAATATTATTGAACTGTGCTTTGTGAAATATCCACGTATTCACGTGTCCTGTGCTACAAATAAACATTGAATATGGAACTACATTTTGTTGTGTTATTGTTGTTGACGGTTGCTAAGATCTCTCACGATAGTGTCACATTTCCCCGCGAAAAAACACTGTTCTCGCCACTGCGTTGCACCCGTGTATAAGCAGGAACAAACCCTGTTTATTTGTTTTATTCGTTGTTATATCGATCCACTGAAAGGATTCGTCAATGTAAATATAAGGAATGATATTTATTTTTTCAACATTTATGAGGTCATAACAACAATGGGTTTTTGGACATATTTTACATGAATCGCTAACGCGATTCATTCAATATGTCCATAAACCCATTGTTGTTATGACCTCATAAATGTTGAAAAAATAAAAATCATTCCTTAAATGACATTCAGGTATGATATTAATGCCATGAGACGATTGTTGACGTCATCATTATTATGACATCATAATTACTACGTTGAGAACACTGACCCTCCCTAGACAGAAGGTTGTTATATATCAATATATTATTTTAACTCTTTCTTTCTTCATCTAACTACATTTTATTTCCTAGCGCCCTGTTTGGCAACACCTTACTTTTGGCTTGAATTTTGAGCGTTCGACCAGGTTAGGAAGGCAATGGGTTCTGTCCCCATGCAGGCCGGGACATACCAAAGTCCTTAAAAATGGTAGTAGTTGTTATTCCCTGCTTAACGATCAGCATTTAGGGGAATGGCAACAACTGGTTCATCCGTTGTCAGTATAATGTGACCGGGCGGAATGCTGTGCTTGGTGCTTGGAGCCTTCGGCATGGCATTTCAGTGGGATAGCACTATAAAGGCGACATCAGATCCGCGCTATCACAAGGAGGCAATCACAACAACATACCCTGTCTCCTGCATACACACACGCAAGCACGCATACACTACAAACATAGAGGCACGTCCTTAAATTACCCTAGCTGTTAATAGGACGTTAAATTAAATTAAACAAAGCCAAACGTTCATAATTATACTCGTTATCTTACCGTGTTCCGAACGAATCGAACTTTTGTACTCCTCGGTATCTTCCCCGGCATTCTGAAAATATATTATTCACCTTTAATATTTATTCCTAACCTAAGTATATGTTGTGTTTACTTAATACACTTCTACTCTACTGACACAGGGTGTGGTACGCGATTATGCTCACCTATCTTCATGACGCGCGCTGAGTAGATATAAAAAACGCCTATAAAAAATACAGTGCTGAAATGAGTGACACTTTTTTTGCAGAAAAACATAAGACTGTCCAAATCACAATGCGTTTCGGCGCTACCTGTTTTCTACCAATTTCCGAAAAATTGCATAAAGTTACAATATGAAGACTCAACTTTGGAATCCTCCGGAAGTCAAGTGACAATAAGAGGTTCACTTAAGCATTGGAGTGCTTTCAGTTGGCATTAATGGGAAATATGAATGCCAACTGGACAAAGGCAATTTCAATGAAGCGCGCGTCCAGTTGGAAGTCATATTGCCTATGAATCTCAACTGAAAGCAGTTCAATACTTACATTTCCCATTTTTGGAATATTGGCATCTCATAAAAAACTAATTAATCTTATTATTATTCAGCATCTAGTTCAAATAATGTATGTATCGTGTATGTTCTTTTCAATGATTAGAACAGCCATCGCCCGGGGAGGGTCAGTGGTATCCAAAGTAACAATTATGACGTCATAATAACGACGACGTCAATAATCGGTCCATGGCGTGATGGTATTGTTGTCTCCGAGTCAAAGTTTTCAATGAAAGGTCCACATTGGTATGTTCCGATAGTTAAGTAAACAATGAAAATCTGTACCCCGCGAACGTCAACCCCACAATCAAAAATCGGCATTTGTAGCTCTCGGCAGTCGAGTTTACAATGGAAGTTCCACAGTAGTATAATCCGGAGGTAAAGTTTACTTTGGAATGTCCAAAGTGATATAACGTACGCATAGGTTATTGCGCATGCTTCTGCTGATACAAGCAGATATACTCGTGTAATCGCAACGTTTGGTTACATCTACTTGTTTTAACAAAAGAACATCGATACTCTAGATGTCTTAAATATTGTTAATAACTAACCTTAAATATTCTCCACTGTGAGTGCGCGAGATACTGTTCCTGTGACGTCGCGGGTTTGTCGAGGAGAGTTGAGGAGTCATAGTAAAGAGCTTCTCTCTTCCGGTCAATGCTCCTCTCTTCCAAACTCTCAAACGCGTCAGTAGGCTGGTCGTACAGGATATCCCCCAGGAGACTGCTCAAGTGGTCGTACCTTCACAAAAACGGCATTTAGTGCTTACTACGTCATACGATTATCCATACGTAATCAGAAAACAGTCTAAACATCTCATAAAGTTTTGTTGTAACTATCTTATTTATTTTTAATTGTATTTTCTTCTTTGATACAACAGCATGCACATGACAGCACGTCAAGCAGTCCTAAATACTCAAAGTAGTAAATTCACTAATTGTAGGGAGTCGGGAAAATGGGTCAGAGTAGAAGATAGAAAGAGATAAAGGAGGAAAACAAATCTTATCTTAATGTATGATACATTGGACGTGGAAAGTATGTTTGGAGTTATACGAATGCTATTCCGCAATATCATGTAATCTTATACTTAGGTGATATTTAATATAACAATAATTGGAGAATCAAGCATATAAGACAAAAACAAACAAAAACTAAACAACGTAAAAAAACAAATAAACAAAAAGCTAAATCATGTCTGGTTCAAAGTGCAACTCACAGATTGTCCCCGGTGTCTGTTGATGACGTCATAAGGTACATCTTTGCGTCGATGCATCTCCTTTCATCCTCAGGAACCGGAATTATTTTCTCTTCCTCTTCCTCGAACACATGTTCGCCCAGCTCACGTGCTTCCTCTTCACGCGATGGGAGGTCCCTCCTCCCCCGGACCTGGGGCGGTTGTTCCTTCATTCTCGTTGAGAATAAATCAAACTTTAAAAAACACTCTTGTGTTTATCACCACGTATTCTGCTGTTTTTAACTAATCCAGTCAAGTTCACAACTCATCCAAAGCACCGGCAGCCCTTATTAGTTAATACTTTTCCGACATCAATATGAATTACGACTATTTTCAATAATTCGGAGGTATATGTCTGTAATTATAGTCCCGTGCTAATTGGAGAGTTAAACATCGGTGTCGTTTTAACTCTTTAATTCTTCCTTTAGCAACAGCGTCGCGTTTTACCTAACAACAAGATAGTCGTCGAGGGTAGTATCGGGCCCCTTTGTATAATTTCTGTAACCCCATGACTTAGCTAGCTTAATCACTGAGTGTACAACGGGCGTAATCTCAGACCCTATATATTTGTACGTCCGGACAGGTAGCTGTAATATTAATCTCGAACCCCATACACCCGTATGTACAGACATGCACCCGTAATTCCTTCACCAATCGATAGGGTGTGTGCATTGCATTTGTGTTGTTTGCGGGATGGTTGCTATTACTGCGAGATCGCTCTATTAACAATATATTGCACGCCTGCTTAACTTTTAAGAAAATATTTAAATATCTAACTACCGAATTCTTTATATCTGAACAAAAATAGATTTAGCAGGGGAGAAATCAGCCAAGTGAATATGATTTCATGAAATTGTATAATCCATGTGCCCCATGCCATTGTTTTGACCTTCATAGCAAGGTCAATGGCATCATACGAGGTCAAAGGATGTGTTGAAGTGTTGATATTTGTTTCAGGATTTTGTTGTAATGTGGCAAGTGTAAACCTGAAAGTCAAAGCGCATGTCCTGATTAATTTTGCACTGTAACATCTTAGTCGGAAATGTGTTTTTGAGTAACAAACAAGTTGTTTGCGTAAGGGAAGAGCGTCATGGGATATCTGTTTACAGACAACTCCAGATTACTACCCGGAAAAGCACACCAATAAAAATTATAACATTAAAATAGCAATCACTTAAATCACTTCCGGTATATTTCAGAAATAATTGGTATAATTAACAAAGTCCGCGACGGCCAGAGTTAATTATTCTTCAACCATTTCAAATCCTGAGTTATATTTTCTGTGGGTTGATTATACATATTCTACGACGTAAAATTGAAATGAAAATGTGTCCTCCCGTCTTCCTCAGTGCCAATAAGCCTACATTATGCAAGGTTTCCAAGAAATTCCAATTATCTAAATTAGGGTGTTCTTTCGCACGTGCGAACATTTGTCACATGATGCGTTTGTCTTCATTTCATAAAGAGCTGTGGGGTTTTGTCATTACTGACGCGGTGGACAGTTGTCCTATTCAGCCTATTTAACCAGGGTAAATTCGGAAAGGATATATATATATATACATCATAATTTCCTGATTTATCGTAAATATGGTGAAATAAAAAGAACCAAAGAAGATGTATCGAGACCGCTGCCCTATCCTGACCTTTCACCCTAAGTTTTTGTGAAAGTCAACAACTAGTCAAAACTTGTCTTTATGAAAAACACTGTTTCAAATTTTGGGTCTGAGAACCTATTAGTTTCTCGATACAATAAACACTGACGTTGGCTAATGTGTCTACCGAGTGTTGATGTCGCACAGATTGTGTTGCTTTATTCCTGTAAAACGTCTCAAACAAATTTTGATTTAAACATGTTTTTATTTGCATCTAATATACAACAGGGATTGGGCACACGAGAGGAGGAGGGTCACAGCTTGGAGATACTTAATGTGAGATCGTGGTAGTGATGTTCTCCGACACAGACGGCACTGGTAACAAATGATTACCGCGAACTGTACATTTTACAATGCACGTCCTCAAGATATATTAAATCAAATTACCAAGGACAAATTACATTGATTTCAATTGTTACGATATTTCTTCATTTTCTGTATGCGACATAAATATAGAATGATGGTCGTCTGCTTGGGGATTGGTCGTCCCTGGTGTTCGTACCTACGAACAAAGAGATTTCATTAATGTGCGAATACTTCCGATATGAGGATACCAAACTGACGTTTACAAGTGGAGTGATACAAAAGGTGAGTGCTATCTAATTGTTAGAAAAGATTGTGTTTCATGCGCGCGTATTGTTGACTCTCTATTCTAACAAATTAAGCCTCTCGCGATTTGAATTATTCATGTTTAAGTGAGGATAATACATGATATACAGAAGGTGTTCCGAACAAAGAGGAAGGATTGGGTCAATTGGAGCTCCACAGACAAGTTCGGTACTGGTCAGTAATGGTTTTTTTCGCACGGCAAAAACCGCACTTTGTCTCGAGGGAAATGTAGGAAAATAATACTTGCTCCTTTCCCCCCGATTTCGTGACAGAGAGTACAATTGTTGCAATTTCCTTATCTTTGTATCTATATTGAGAGCTGCCCAATCGATATTTGCTAAATATATTATTTACTTCATTTGTAGTAAATAACAAATTTACAACCCAGATCACGCTGCGAATTTCATGTAATTTCAGTTATTTCATTTGGGTTTATACAAACACTTTGAAATAAGACCTAGAGAATCTTTATGACAGTCAACTGCCATTAAGTTCATAAAAAAATATCATAAATTTCTAAGAGAGATTTCTATTCACTCTAGTTTCTTTAAATCACAAGATTTTATATAAACAATTAATAACATATCGTATATAATTGCATTTATTGATACCTTAAATTCATTGAGAGAATCCTGGTTTCGTTGGTTCCTGCAGTTCTATTTAACACTCGTTTGGACAATGTCCGTAGATAAGAACGTTTAATTATCCTTTATTTAACAAGCAAATTCGTGGAATTTATGTCCCCCGCTTGCAGGAAATATTGTAGGTTAACATTATTGAGGTAAGGTTTAAACATGTGAATATCGTGGCGTTGAGACATAATGTATAGCTTGAAACTTGAAGAAAAAATATATGTACCTCATTGATTATCCGTAAATATGAACAAATCACATCGGTTGGAAAATTAACTTAGCACTAGGCGGATGTGCATACGGAATTTGGTTGAAACATCTGAACAATATCTACAGCAATTATCACACGAAAACCAAAGAGACAGAGGAACACAAACATTGTTATCAAGTTTGAAAGAATTTGGCTTATATTTGCTAGAGTTATTAAACGGAAACTTCAGATAATGACGTCAAGGGGCCATAACTCTACCAAATGGGGTGGTTGTCAAACTTGGCCGAGCCCATAATGCGTTGGACCTTGTTACAAAGTTTGAAGACAATCGGATAATATTTGCGAAAGTTAAAGAACAGAAAATGACGTTTTTCGTTATTCAAGGGGCCATAACTGAAAGTGGTTATCGAACTTGGCCGAACCCTTAAGGCATTTAACCATGTGACTAAGAATGAAGAAAATCGGTTAACATTTGTTGTAGTTATTGCACAGACACGAAAAGCAGCAGATAATGACGTTTTTCAGTATTCAAGGGGCCTTAACTCCGCCAAATGGGGTCCGCTGAAAGTGGTCAACAAACTTTGCTGAACTCTTAAGGCATTTAACCATGTGACCAAGTTTGAAGAAAGTCGGTTAACATTTGTTGTAGTAGTTGCACGGAAACGCAGCGTGACAGACAGACAGACAGACGGACGAACAAACCAAATAAATATCCCCCGTTTCGGTGAAAGCGGGGGATAGTAACAATGTAAAAAATTGGTCTCCGTCCGGACAGACATATATTTGTTGGAGTATTCTCTTCAAGTCCGTTATTCACTTTTTTTTCCTCGTGATATACTCTCATTAGTTGGATAAACTATATATGTGTATTTTTGTCTGTCGTTATAAAAATGCATTCCCTGGAGAGCTACGTTCTACCCTGATAAATTTAGACGTTTTCCTTAATAACGTTGTTTTATCGTCAGCTGTTCACCTTGATAGACATCTTTTTCACGTGGAGAGGAATTCGTTATGACCCCGTTCGAATACACAATCAACTTGAAGCGTTTCTCGTGGGATTTCTTCGGAAAATTGAATTTTTTGATGAAATAAAATTGGTATATGAACTTGCACTATCATCAGACATCTCGTATACTATCCGTATCTTACTGAGAAGTGTGGATTGATGTTTTTTTTGTCGTCGGTAACCATTTTATATTACGATATAGATGAAATGTATACAACAACTGTTCATGGTTATTTGTCGTCGGTAATAGCACATCGAACTTATTTATCTGTCAAATACAGGTAGTAAAACAGAGTATAGGACGAAAGTTCGTGAAGGTAAGGTTGCTGATACGTGCCATTTACTTAAGTAAACAAAATTAAACTGGAGAATAATACTACGTTTGACGTCAGCCATCTTTTATATAGCCGCGGATTGTTGGGGATTGTTTTGGAGATGACAGATGATTGGTAAGGTCGACAGTAGACAATGATACGATAGATACGGTAGATCTGTTATGAGAATGCTGATTGGTCGATATGTGTCACGTGTCTGCGCTATCCCCGATCACTGATACAATATTGATCGTGTTTTAATGAGCGTATTTTCGATAACATCACAAAAATCTAGTAACAAATATATCACTGAAATGGTCTGCATATACACAGCTCGACATTGATTTGCTGCAATATTAACTAGGCCTAAGTTAACGGAAATACAGATACTTCCAAAGGTCATAGGAATAGTGTATACGTATTGTCACAATGATTCCGAATGGTAGAAACTATCGATCCGTTCGGAAGGTCGCTTTATAGATTAAGTAGATTCCATGCATTTATTTGAAACGATGACGGTGATTGTCCAAAAGAAATTGATGAATAACGATCGCTGTGATTGGCTAACGCAAATACTTGGTGGATGTTAATAGTGTAAGCAATTTTTCTTACTCTATGTACAACGGATTAAGAGTCACCACGAAAGTAGATTTATCCTTGTTTGCTATCAAGTTCTTACCCGTTATTTCTATGCTGGAAACAAAAGTAGCGTCTTACGTATTTTCGGAGTTGAAATCATGACACGGCAT